TCCAGGGAACGGCTGGAATTCAGCACGGAGATTCCATGGGAACATCGGGATAACAGGCAGGGATCATTCCCGAAATGGGGTCATCCAGGGAACGGCTGGAATTCAGCATGGGGATTCCATGGGAATTTTGGGGTAATGGGCAGGGATCATTCCCAGAATGGGGTCATCCTGGGAACGGCTGGAATTCAGCACGGGGATTCCATGGGAACATCAGGATAATGGTGGGCAGGAATCGTTCCTGGAGCTGGGAATGGGGCTGGAATTCAGCATGGGGATTCCATGGGAATTTTGGGGTAACGGGCAGGGATCATTCCCGAAATGGGGTCATCCAGGGAATGGCTGGAATTCAGCACGGAGATTCCGTGAGGTTTGGGAGCTGGGGAATTCTGGTTCCAGTTCCCGTGGAATTCCGGTTTCAGTTTTTAGGAATTTCTGCTTCAAATTCTGGGGAATTCTGTTTCAGTTCCTGGGGATTCCTGCTTTGGTTTTTGGGGAATTCCTCCTTCAATTCCTGGGCAATTCCTCCTTCAGTTTCTGGGGAATTCCTGCTTTGATTTTTGGGGAAATTCTGCTTCAGTTTCTGGGAATTTTTTCCTTCAATTTCTGAGGATTCCTGCTTTGGTTTTTTTGAGAATTCCTGCTTCAGTTTTTTGGGGAATTCCTGCGGTGGTTTCTGTGGGTCTCTGCTTCAAATCCTGGGAATTTCTGTTTCAGTTCCTGAGAATTTCTGGGAATTCCTGCCTCAGCTCCTGGGGGGGTGGGGGTTTATCCTTCAATCCTTCAAATCCAGGGAATTCCTGCTTCAGTTTCTGGGAATTCCTGCTCTTCCGTGTGTTTAATATTGAGGTTTTCCTTGGAAAAGTGGCGGCGCTGCCTCTGTGTCCCGGGGTGGGGCTTTCCTGGGATTTGTGGCTCTGTCCGGTTCCTCGGGCAGGAAAATGTTGGATTTTCTGGGATTCAAAGGGATGGACAGGATTCCTTGGAAAAGAGGGATTGGGGTGGGATTTTGGGAAGGAATTCCTGCCTGGGCTGGAATTGCCAGAGCAGCTGGGGCATCCCTGGAATATCCAAGGAAAGGTTGGATCAGCCTGGGATGGTGGGGTTGGAATGGGATGGGGTTGAAGGTCCCTTCCCACCCAAACCATTCCAGAATTTTGGGATCAAGGAAGCTCAGAATCCATCCTGAGGGATTTTTATGGAAGTTGGGGATGGAAAAGGGAAGGGAGACCCTTCCTGGAGTCCCTGCCCTTGGAATGGGACGGGATTGGGATGGGATCTGAGGTTCCTTCCCACCCAAACCATTCCAGGATTCCCGGTGCCGTGGCCCTGGAGATTCCCGTTGGGAACAGATGCGCAATTCCAGAGGCTCCGCGTTGTCCCGGCGTGGCAGCAAATCCATAATTCCCCGTTTCTGTGGGATCAATGAACCCATTTGCTGCTGCCTGGCAGCGGGAGGCGGATCCATGGATTTGCTCCGGCCTCTCCCGGTTCCAAGGGCACGGCCAGCCTGAATTCCAGCTCTTGGGATTTTTCCAGGACTTTTCCCGGATTGTGATAAGCTCCCAAAAAAATCCTCCAATGAAAAGTCTGGAAATCTGGGAATGTGGGAGCTGGGATTTTCCCACCGGAGCTATTCCTGCCTCTGCAATCCTCAAAATCCAGGAATTTAATAATGGTTTCATCCAGCCAGGAAAAAAACAGGAAAAATCCCAATGATTTGGGAATTTAATAATGGTTTCATCCAGCCAGGAAAAAA